CAGCAAGTAAAATGGTTGAAATTGAAATGCATGTGTGAAAAACAAAAGTTAACTAACGGAGAGTTTTGCTCGGGATTGAGAGCTTCGCCCTTCTCTTTCAAGCAAGGGGGAGTGTCACATGCTCTTTCCTCAAAAAACACAATTCTCTTAACTAAAAATAAGGTAAAGGCAAAGTAAAGATAAGCTAAGTGCTGGATTTTTATAAATTTGAATAGGTAGAAAATAACTAAGTAACAACGGAAACAAAACAAAGCTCAATAAAGGAATGTAAGTGCTCGGAATTTAAAAACTAAAAGCAACTAATGAAAGAACTCAAAAGTACTTAGAAAGCAACAAAGAAACACTAAGAATGATCAAGAGAAGGAAGTAAGGCTTGATGAATTTGGTGGAGAAGCTGCTGGAATTTATAGTTGTGCAGAATTGGTTAGGGAGGTCCTAAAACGCTGGTGGATCGCCCATTTCCAACTCGTTTGACTGACCAAATCATGCTCAAACTGATAGTGGAACACTTCTTCTACACGTATGCATCGGTTGGAACCACCAAAACGCATTGGAAGACGCGTTTCATTAAGGGCAAAGTTGGAAGAAAACCAGGATTTCTGCAGCCTACCAGGCGCCTGGTGCCTCCAATGAAGGTTTTTCCGTCTTTTTGCTTCTTTTGATTAATTTGCACTCCCAAATGGTCCTAAAATGTCATAAATACAATATAAGCCAACCACAAACCATCATATATGAATTTTGCATGAATTGGAACTCAAACGACTGAGAAAAAGTCCGAAACAATGTTAAAACATAGTAAAAACAGCATCTAAAACCTTCTTTTTACACATGTAAACAAGCGTAATCATATACCTGTATCCATTGTGTCCGATCGCGACCCGCGTTTCACCTCGACTTTTTGGTGGAGTTTACACAAGTCCCTTGGCACTAAGTTGGACTTTAGCACAGCGTTTCATCCCCAAATCGACGGTCAGACGAAGCGTGTGAACCAGGTTTTAGAGGACATGCTCAGAGCTTGCATGTTAGACTTTGGTGGTAGTTGGGACAAGTATCTCTACCTAATAGAGTTCGCTTATAATAACAGTTTTCAGGCCACGATTGGGATCGCTCCATACGAGGAACTTTATGGGAAGAAGTGTTGGTCTCTGATTAATTGGGACGAAGTCGGAGAAAGAGTCCTCTTGGGACCGGATTTGGTGCAGGCGACTAACAGTGCCATTCAAAAGATTAGGGGAAGGATGCAAATTTCTCAGAGCCGTCAGAAGAGTTATGCAGACATCAGGCGTAAGGAACTCGAGTTCGTGGTAGGTGAGCGGGTGTTTCTTCGTGTGGCACCCGTGAAGGGAATTTTACGTTTTGGGAAGAAGGGGAAGCTCAATGCAAGGTTCATTAGGCCTTTTGAGATTTTGGAACGTATCGGCCCAGTCGCGTATAGGTTGGCTTTGCCACCATCGTTGGCTGCGGTTCACAATGTGTTTCACGTGTCCATGCTGAGGAGGTACATTCATGACCCTTCGCACGTTTTGGATCTTGAACCATTACAACTAGATGAGTCCTTGTGCTACGAAGAGGTACCTGTCAAAATTTTGGCAAAGGAAACCAAGTTGTTAAGGAACTGGACGATTCGCTTTGTTAAGGTTTTGTGGAGAAACCACCAACTGGAAGAAGCTACTTGGGAACGGGAGGACGATATCAAAGCGAGATACCCTGAACTGTTGGAACAGTCATCTTTCGGGGACGAAAGTTTTTGAAGGAGGGAAGTCTGTAACGCCCCGAGTCCCTCAGGTTAGTTTGTCTCGAATCAGGAGATTTTCATTTAATTTTAAATTAAACTTTAATTAAATTTATATATATCGGGCTCCGTGTGGTTGGTTTTATCTTAAGTTGGGATGGGTTTCTTTTCTCTTGGGCTTGGTTATGTTGGGCTTTTTGGGTTGGGTTGGTTTTAAAACAAAGGAAAAG